AGGCTGGGTTGGCAAAAAAATATTAACTCTAAATACAGGCCAGACCAGGCCAGAAAAAAAATTTTAACTCTAAATGCAGGTTAGTCTGGATCTCAAAAATAGACAATTCACAAGCCTCTATCTTAGACCTAATTATAATTAATACAATTCAATAGCATTATCTCTTCAATTATCCAAACAACAAACTGATAAGCAATATGATTTTGCTGTTTTTCAAAAAGTGACAACATGTTTTTTATATGCTTTTGTATTATTGTTTCAATTGCTTTTTGATTGATTGCAATAAGAATTGCAGTTAATGTTAGAGGTAGTTGTGTTTTCTATTTTTGAGTTTTAAAAATTTGGTGTTTAGTACACAAGTTTATAGCAATATTAGTTGTTAATGTTCTAGACATAAACACTGTTGTATATTTTCTAAAAGTACTATTATTATTATATATACAAATATTACAGTATTTGACTTTTATTGCTTTATTATAGCAAGTATATTTTTATATCCAACTGCTTCTGGAGGTTTTTTTTTCCTGTATTATATTTAGGTTTGAACTTTTTTTTCAGGACCTTCATAAAAAGTAAAATAAAATATAATAGGCAAAAATTCTGTTGTATTATCCTTTTCATTTTCAGTATAATTACTATCTTCATTATTAGTAACATTTTTATTATTAATAATATTTCTATTACTAACAACATTTTTATAAAGATTATTTTCAAAATTAGAGATTCCTTCATATTTGAATGACATTTTATTTTTATTAGTAACATCATCAAATGATTAGTTATTAAATATTTTAAAATAACAGATTGTATTAAAACTTATAATAATTATATAGACTGATTTTTGATTTTATGCAATAGTAAAAGTAACAATACAAATTTTAATGCATTATATTATTTTTTTTTGTATATATTTATTTAAACCAAATTATTTATTAAGGTTCAGATTACAAGTTTTTTTAGACTAAAGAATATTATATTTATGCAAATTAATACTTATAGGCATTATTTAAAGACATACAATTTAAAGAGAATTAATAATTAATTTGGCTAAATTTAATTTATAGTTTTTTGTTCTTAAAAGCCTTTAGCTAAATTAATTATTGTTCTTTTTAAATTGCATATTTCTAAATAATATATATAAGCATTAATTCATACAAATATGATATGTTTATTCTAGAAACTGAAGTTAGTTATGCAAAAAATTTTCTATACTCCAAACTAGATTTCACATCCTTATATACTAGTATAATATTATATAGTTATAGTATTATACAAGTAACTTTCATTATAGTTATTATATATTAAGAGAATATTATATGCATTTTATTAGTTAAAACAGATTTGTTAGTTAGAATAAATCTAGCAACCAGATGTAATTTAATTAAAATTAGATATTTGTTTGATTTTGATTGAAAATATGTCTATTTAATCTAATTAACAATACTGTTTAAATATTTGATTTCTAATTTTTATTATGCTAAGTTTTTACTATAACAATAACAGTCAGATGACATGTCATACAAAATTGATCAACTATAAATTTATACTAATTTTTTAATAATATATAAAGATCATTACATAATAAAATATTTAGCTTTACTAATAAATA